TCTCGGGAACCCGCCATCTCAACATTTGTAATCAAACTTGGCTGTGACGAGGTTCTTAACTGAATTTTCTTAAAAGGGCCTCTTTTTCTTAAATAGTAAAAGATTCCTTTCACTTCTAAAGGCAATGAATAGCCAGGGATGAATTGCTGCATTGGCATGCGCAAACCAGAAAAACAGCCCAAGGACAACTATAGGAATATTCTCGTAAATGTCGCCATAAAAGATTATCATTATGTGGGCGACATGTGCAGGAAGCCAGCAAATGGCGAACACGGCAACTGCCATGAGCAACATCTTAATGATTGCCTTGCGCTTCTTCTTTTGCCTGGTATACGCTTCTTGATTGACAGCTCCAGGTGGTCTTTGTTTCCACAGGAAGTATGCGCTTGACGAGTACAAGACCGCCATTATAAAAAGTGGTATTGCATAAGTGAGGACGACTTTACCGATCATATCTGCTTCCTCGAAAATTTGTGCGAGCTCTTTGTTTTCGTGCCATTCAGTGGTACACTCGGCAGATTCACCTTCTTCCTCTATCAATTTATGTTTGTGAAGTTCCCCACTAAATATCAAGCTTGCAAGCAACCACACGATGACTATAGAGCGCACCACCGATCGAGGTGATAACGGCCTTCTTCGGATACACACGATAGCCAAATACCGGTCAGCGGCAATGACAGTGAGAGTCCAGATGGACACACAGATGGAGACGACAGACAGGAAAGGAGTGAATTTGCATAGGATGGACCCTACAACCCCTGATATCCAGCAGTCTCCACAGAAGAAAACTGGCAACGTGAAGGCAGTGGAAGTTGTCACATCCAGGAGATCAGCAGCAGCCGTGTTGAAGAGAAGCCAGTTAAATGCGTTCTTTCGAATGTTGTTGCGGGTGCGCACGAGATGTATGATAAGCGAGTTTCCCACCAGCGAAAACAGACAAATAAAGGCGTATGCACCGATCATAATTATTCTATCGACCTCTTTCAAGTTTTCGCCGTGCCCATCATCGAATTCTTCTTCGCCAAGAGTGGTGTTAGAATGACTTGTATTATTCATGGCTTTCAGTTGACAACCTAGGAAAAAAAGGGATGTCTTGAATTTTGTGATCAGCTTGTTACGTAACCAATCTCATGATAATTATAATAATTAATCATAACTTATGGAAAAGAATATTCGAATGGCCCCTTAGATTGCTTTCCAATTTGGTCGAGTTGTTCCAGGTACTACCCACCCTCAGTACTGGATGTTTTCCACAATGTGATACCCTGTATTCGCAAGTCCAGGCTGTTGCACAGCGTCCTCAAAGAACAGCCGGAGAAATCATGGGTTTATGTGAAATTTCAGATATTCCTCGCTTCCCAAACTAGTGAACTGGACTTTATCATAACTCCAGCAAATACCTCCAAAATTCAGTGGTCGGCATCTGTCGATACTCTTCTTTAACTCGTTGTTGCGAACTAAACTCGAAAACTAAAGCCATGTTTCGTTCTTAATGTTCCGGTGAAACTTTGGATTGCAGCTGCATTCTCTTCAAGAATCAGTCATAGAACTCCACTTTTAAGTCTATGTGTCGAAGTTTGGCGTTTTGGAATTTAAAGCTGAACGATTACACTATCGCGCATAACAGAGGTCCGCATTAATCATTGCGGGTGAACCCGCTGACCCTTTATTTTTTTTGGAAGGCCTGCAAGTGTAGTATGGCATGCAAGTGCTTTTTCGAAACCAGAGAGGCTTCAGTCTGTAGCGAGTCTTCAGCGATGTTGTTAAAGCTTTCATTGGACAGAGGATACGCATTGACGAAACACCCAGTGAAGGGAACAACAGCTGCAGTAAGAATAGTAGACGAATCAAAGAACACTCTCTGTATAAATAAGATTGAGCATTTTAGTAGCTTCCACAACTTCGAATATGAAGATATCGGTCTGAGAGTTTGGAAATGTTATGGCATCGGTAAAGGGAAGTACATTCCATATGACGTAATTTATATCAAGCACCAAGGTCAAACGTCCCTTCAAACCATAGAATCTCAAGGGTTTTATGATCCTCCTGAAAAACGTGTGGTCAAGCGTCGTTCAAAGGGCATCAAGGAAACAGAGAGTACAACGCCATTGTTTGAATGCTCTGTGTTTGGATGTGTTGAAGTGTTCGAAACCTTTTCGCAGCTGCAGCTGCACCTGGACGTTGGAAAGCATACAGTCAGCAGGTTAAAGCCAGTATGATGCAATCAAAAGGGACTGGGCCCTTAAGTTCTCGTCGATAGATACCGCTGGTATCGAGTGTTCGAGCTGTTCGTTAGATTCTAGTACACCACTCACTTCTCCCGTGGATACTTCGCCCCACTCGTCTTTACGAACAGGATGGGCCGTAAGCAAACCAAGGGGCAGCGTTAGATTTTCAGAGAAGGTAAAAGAATACCTAACGGCACGTTTTACACTTGGCGAAAGAACTGGGCGAAAGGCCGACCCCGCCCAAGTTGCAGTGGACATGCGAAATGCGAAAAATGAATCAAATGCACGTTTGTTCACTAGAGGACAGTGGCTGACAAAGAGCCAAGTTCAGAGCTTTTTCTCCCGGCTAGCAGCAATGCGGCAAAAAGATCAGGGTGTGATCGGGACATCACTGGATGAGGAGGAAGATATCCAATGCGTCCAGGAAAATTCCGAGAGATAAAATCTGGTAGACAAAGTTAACAAAGAGATCAAAGTCTCACATCCAATCTGCTACGATACGTAGGACCTCTGGGAACGTTACTACAATAATACACTTCAGAAATTCAATGTGGTTTCGTTGAGAGCCATCTGTAGTCATTTTGAGATCCCTGTAAAATTGAGAGACAAAAAACAGATCCTCATAGACAAACTGTTGGACGTGATTAGTGATTGTCAGTGTGTTTCTCAGTAGACTTATGTAAACAATGTCTTATACGGTGGCTGAAAGTGTAGAATATGCTCTACAGATACAAACTACCTTTACTTCCGATATCAAGTTCTGACGGCGTTGTTAAAGTGTAATATATCATAATATCTAGTACTCAGTGAAATGTTTGGATAAAATCGATTGAAAATTTACCAAAAGAAACACTTATAACATCTGTTCATACGGAGCATGTGTCAAGTTTTTAACACGTTGGTAGCCGATTTCTCCGGCTATTGAAAGGTTGCTGTTCTGTGGACACAATCGACGCGGAACCGAGAGAAGCAAGCTCAGGATATTTGAAATCGAGTTATTAATTATATGATATCAAACTCCAGGTAAAAGCATTTATTCTTTTCATCCAAAATTTTTCTGCCCAAATATTACTTTGGGATACAAAACAAAACCATATGGCACAAAACGTACGGCACAAGCTATCAGCGGTCTTCTCTTTTGTGCGGACCTTTGTGAGAACAGTATAATATCGAACTGGATCTAAATTAAAGCGATTATTTCTTCTCTTCAGAAGCCTAAAACCATCATTTCTCCCTCAGCTTCCAGACATGGAGAGTTTATATTCTGATTTTGGAAAAAATTCAGCTCTGCAGCGATGTTAAATGGGTGATTCACCGCGAAATGTGGCCAGTTCCGGCATTTGTTTTGATACCACGAATCACGATGGATGCCGCCTACTTTTCGAAGGCAATACCTAGCTATTTGTTGAAGTTATCATGGATTTCACCAATTTGGTTATTAGAAAAATTCTGAAGTGAGCCATGAAGCCGGGCTGCAAAGCGGGTAAGCTGTATTTATGACGAAATCTGCTCCAGTGGTTCGATTTTGGTGTAGGCGAAAAAATCGCGAATGCTCGTACATGTGCTGATTCAAACGGTCATAACTTTTGAAAAATCGAAAACGTACAGGGGTTTTTGCATATTTTTTCCTATAAAGGTCTAAACTTAACGGCTGTTTAGGATAGAATCGTCAACCAGGTCCCAAATCCCAAACCTTAGCGTCTAAATCAAGGTTATTTACGGCCATCTGCCGATGGCGATTTCTAGTGGTCAGAATATGCTAAAATTCGCCTTTTCAAATATGTTGAGAGGGCAAATTCTAACTTTCTTGGAAAACTAGAAAGGTTTTTAAGCAATCTGATATAAATTCTGTGGCTTAACTATGCGAATCAAATATTTTACAACGTTACAAAATATGCCTATTTTTCAATTTTCGAGACGTTGCGACGGTCCCTACGGACTGGGAAATAATTATGGCCCGTAATGCAGTCAGAAAATTATTTCGAATCAAACCAAATCTAATTTAGTTCTTTCCTAGGTAAAGTCTTTCTGTTAACAGAGTTTCAGGCAAAATTATTTTTGACGCAAAATTGACCGGGTGGAAATAAGAGAGACAGCCTCTTAAGTTTTTGCTGAGTTTCGTTATAGGAAAGCGTACAATAACACTCATACTTACCATTAAAGATTATTCATGACGAAAAAATATATGTTATGGGTTACTGAGATTTCAGAACGCGAAACTTGATCCCATGTAGGACGCCATTGAGTTTCCTCACAATAAAATACAGTTCTCATGGTTCCTGCTTTAGTTATGAGAGGGGAACTTTTGTTTGAAAACGATTATGTCGCGAGCATGTTTTGGTCACAAGCAATGACATGTAGCATCTATAGTTGTATTCAGTGAGACCCCTACCCCAATACCTACAATTTTAACAATAAGCCGTGACATAAAGTTTGTCATGATTCGCTAATGGTAATCCAGTTCGGTGACCGTTATGTACAGGTAAATAATGATGGTGACATTTTGGATTCGGGAATCTAAAGGGTGACCGCCTCTTCTATGTACAAGTGACCTCTGTACACAGGTCAGCTTCAAAGACTTGCGGTCCAGACCTCAACATATGGATTTGTTTATTTAGTTGAAAATAATAGATAACATCTCTGATTTAAAAAATTATGCAATTTTATTGATAATTAAAACAAGTTAGTCTAAGACCTCATCGTTTTGCAGCGGTATCTTCAAGGCTTTTATTCTCAGCTTACCTAAGTTTTAAAACATTTATATGTCTTACCTAATCAAAACACTTTTCAGTGATGGAATATTATTGATTTGACTATGAAAAAAATTTGCATGTTACAGATTTATTAAATGTATTCATACCAGGGCCAATGAAACGCCATTACCTATTAGAAAGGAAACGAGAGCCTCAAGTGAGGCTATGAAACAAAAAAAAAGGTCTGTTTGTTGTAAAATCCTGATGAAGTTTATCAAGTTTTCAGAATTATTATCACCCAAATTTGGGGCCTCAAAAAGGAAAGTGTATGACATTCTTTTCAAATTCAATCATCCAGGTAAATTTGAAGGTTTCGTACACGATGAAAGTTAGTTCCAATAACGAGGTATTCATGCTTCTGCAGAATTTTCGTTTTCCCGTTTCTTTTTGTCCAAGCACGAGGAACAAGAGCGAATGGGGAGGAAAATAAAAAGGCGATTGGAAGTTTTCATCCAAGCCTGCACATCACTTTTGCCCAGCCAACACTTCTCTTGTTTGGCTTAACTGAGGAAAAGGTTACTACGCAAGCTTCTTGTCAATTAAATCATTCCGTTTTCATAAATTGGTCCAGTGCTTCTCAACTTTTCCAATAAAAAATATTTCAAAACGTTTCATTCTATCTATCGATATTATCGCAAAGGATGAGGAGTGGTAGTCGAACGAGGATGCGATTAACATGTGAAATCTAAGTTGAAAAACGGTTTCTTCATCTATTTATCGATGTTTTTTTAGCACAGTTCCTTAATGTAGGCCGGATAAAAAAGGTAGAAACTATAATTAAATTTTAAGTGTCCGTTGACACTGATACTTCAAACTTCAAACTAGCAAATTCATTCCTGAATACTACCGAATATCACGACTACATTCTAGATAGTCAATAGCTTGACAGCGAACACAGCTTCTACCATGTCGTAAAACGCTTTTAAGTCGGAATAATCACAAAATTCCAAATTGTAAACGCGGCGACTGGTTGCAACAGAAGCAATGTGTCCCAAATTTCCACTTTCATAACCTCCAACTCTTCGTTTTCGCCAGGTATACTTCAGGGCACTGGAGACAAACCTTCCTGGCTGCACCATGCGAAGTTCTGAAAAAAGTTGAATTTCATGAGTTATAAGAAGATTCTGTAATGCATGCGCATGCTGCAGGAATAAATAATCCTTAAGGATAGGGCCTGGAGTCTGGAGTTAGAATTACCTCGATCTCTTCTGTGGACCACCCTCTGCAGTTTTTCAAATTTCCCTAAGACAGCAATGACATTCTTTGTGTCACGAGGTGCAGGGCGTCCGAATGAGGGCTAAGTGTGACAGTGAAGGTCGAGTATCTCGCTAAAAGCAAATATAACAACCTGACAGGTATCAGACCTCATCTTTAACTTGAAAGTATTGGGTAAACAAATAGAAGAGGATCAAGTTGAGGGACTTTAACTTCCACATGGGCGTTATTGCTATGGTATTCCCTCTCAAGTAATTCTTCAATCGTTTCCTTGCCAAATCAGTTAACCCAGCATGATCTCCACTGATAAATTCATTGAAACAAAATACGAAATAAATGCGACACTCTTCTTAAGAGACCCGATGTCCAGATCTTAGACATAACTTCGGAGAGGTAAGACCTGTATGAGGGATTCGGTTTCAGCGCTTGATCTTCTTTTGACAAAGAAGCATGTTTCCTATCTCAGGGAATTCGTCCCAAGAAAAAGTATTCACGAAGGACAAAAAGATTGATAAAGATGCGTAGACTAAAAAGTATATTTACCTTTCAGATCAATGATCTTTTTAGTTTTTTCGTTTTGAATTCCTTCTTCTTCGCCAGGTTTTGATCTCAGCTCAAGTTTGTGGGCATCTTCATGGAAAAATAGCATTCCGTGATGCGGCATTTTGTTGCCTAGTATAACAGAAATTTGTTACCCATGAGATTCAAACAGGATGCGTTTGTCTATGTCTAATATCTTGTTTTGAGGCAGATGTCTGACAGTTTATTTCGTGCATTGTAAAGAAAGAAACAATAAGCAAAATACCAAGTTTATGCACTTGTCTTGCAAACCTTTTTTTTATACAACACTTTGCGATTTCAAGAAGTTGGACCAAAAGCATAAAGATGACAATGGCCAGCCATGAAAATAAAAAATAGAAAATAACGCATGGGCCAATTATAACACTGCGAAAACAATGTAAATGGCCTCAGGAGTGGGAGTTACAAAGCGAGTGAAACAACAATGACTTTTAGAGGAGCCATATAAGCAGCCAAAATCTTGAATACACCTTTAAAGAGGATATTATACCATCAAACAGCGAGCAGAGGACAGGCCCTTTTCAAATTACCTTTTTTGGAGTGAAGGAACACGCCTACACCGCCAGAAAGTTTCCCCACGGCACGTCTTTGGTTGAACGTTCTGGGAGGTGTGGGGAATTCTGGAAACAACATGCGGTAAGTGAAGCCCAGGGCTGTTGCAAGGATACCACCAGTTACTTGTGCTTGAGGTAACTCACTTAAGGAGTAGTGGTCACCAGGGCACACGAGTACTGTGGTACCTTCATCTACCAACTGACTCCATTCTTCCCCGATGCCCCGTGATGTGGGATTACGGGGGAAAAATCTGCTGTTCTGACATCTGAGGAATGTGAGAGGACCTCGATAGCGAACCTATTAAACAAAAAGCATGAAAAAGTTTACTTAAGTTATTTACTAATACTTAGTATGTTTCCAATAAATTGATAATGTCTCATGGTTTGATATTCTTCTCGTTGACCAAAGGGCATTTGGACAACTTGCCCCTTAAAACACAATTATATGGATATCGGCATTCAGTAAGAGTGCCTCTTACCTCAGCAGGCTGCCATTCTTGATGCGTCCTATTGGCAAAGGTTTGATTCCTCAGAAGAGCTTCTCTTAGGGTCCTTAAATTGTAGGTGGTAAGACCTTTCGTAAGGCTTCTTTTCTGCAACTCATCAATGATCCAGTCTTGAGTGTGTGTATCTCTAATTTGTTTATATTCGTCAACATTCATCTTTAGGGAGTCTACTGCAAGCTTTTCCAAGTAGCTTTCGAATTGGAGCTGAATAGAGAGATTGACAGCATCTGTTAATTTTTCTTGGGCACTAAAATATTAGAATAGGAACAGATAACGCCTCCAAAAAGTGGTACACCGATTGGAACGGGTGGTTAACAAGTACGCCTGGATAATTCTCTAAACACCGTGGAGAAAATTCCTCTGTTTTACCTTACTTTTTGGGTTCGTCAAATAATGTTATATTGTTCTCTACGAATTTGAAATCCACCCGTATAAATCATGATTCATTGAAAAAGCATTCCTTACGCAGAGTTCACGAACAAAGAAATCGGAAGAGTGACACTAAACATAAAATCACCTGATGAGGCATGGGTAATACAATATGTCCACAAATCCTCAAGTAAGGACAAAAATCTTAAAATTTATTCATTTCCTCTATGAAGATGTCTATGAGTGAGGTATTTCTAGTTTCAATGAAAACAATTTAAAACAATATATGAGATTTACACAACTTTGAATTGTTTAACAAACCTGAACATGTCGCGATGGCAACCATCCGTCTTCCTTCGCGGAAAATAACCGAGTGGTTATGGTCCGTGAACGCAGTGACCAAGGAAATGTGTCAATCATTACAAGGAACTCCACCCTATGATTCTGTTCTGTTAACAGGGAAGCCATTTCGTACGCTACAAGTCCTCCATATGAATATCCCCCGAGAAAGTACGGTCCATGGCGCTGTTCGTTGGTGATCAGCTGAACGTAATGAGCGGCAAGCTCACGCACTCCACCCCAGTCCTCACTGATGACCGTAGGATCAGTAAAGCCCAGAGCATAAAAGGATACTAAGTCCTAGTAAAGACGAATAAAAGATGCGAGCCACACGATGAAAGTGTTTGAAACCTCTGACGTGTACTTTTATAAAGGGCAAGAGAAAGCCCAAATCAACGAAGTTTAAAGAATATGGAGTTGATCCGGAGGAGAAGAAATCATTATCATCTCCAGAATATGTGACCCCTGTAAACTGCGTCAAATAATTGTCTAGCCCCTTTCGCTACCGGGTCAAGCGAGGAATACTAAAGAGTCAGATACTTAAAACTTCAAGATCTTCTAAGATCTGGGTTGAGAAGCGACCTCGGCCTTATGGTCACCACAGGATTCACATTACCTTGAAACTATAACAACGACAGCAAAATATTTCTTTGGCTGTACAACTAAATGTAAAGTGACTGATAAAAAAAGATGTTGAAATGATGTTTATATCATTGGCTGAGGGGCTAAATAAATTCTATGACGGTCAGATACGCACCTGTCCTTGAAATCCGGTAGAAATGGGAACCAAATTCAACGCGTAGCGATGTGAAGGGTGAACACAGAAGAATTTTATTGCTGATCCCTCAGGAGTGTAAAGAGGTAAGACTTGAACCTCCTTCTTGGACGGCATGTCTGAAGTATTTGTTTCCTCCGATGACTGAGTTTGTCCGGGTGCACTTTCTTGGCTCTCGCTATTCTGCGGGCTGCTTGCTTTTCCACGAAGCCTGGCACTGATGTCCCTGGCCATTTTTAGTGTAGTAGTGTCAGGCTGCATGAAGTAGTAAACCTAAAGACAAGAGTTTCAAAAATTACAAGTTTCACATGCATCGACGTTTCGATTGAACATAATTCACTACCGTACGTTTAAATTTGATTAAATATTCACTATTTCCAGGTACGAAGAATGATTATAGAAACTTTTCATTCGATTAAACCATCCACACATATGAGGGCATGATCCTTATATGGGTATATAGGGGTGTATTTAGTAGTATCGATGGTTCAAGAGAATCGTCTCTCATTTGAATCGAAATGAATTGTTCTTAATTGGAGTATTTCCTAGAACAATGCTGCTATGCAAACTAAAAGACATTTTGGTTACAAGATACGTATAAGGATATTCCAACGGGACTTTCTTAAATGCACCAGCTGGGAAAATTACAAATTCATTGTTTTTCAGTTATCTAATGACATACACACCTCAAAAGAGACCTGCAAGTTTGACTCAAGCAGCATCTTCAGAGTCAAAGCTGCAGTGGAGTCAATACCATAGCTATACAAGCTTTTGTTTAGATCCGTCTCTGAAAGCGATGAACTGCCTGTCAATTCCGCAACCGAGATGCGAACATACTCAACGATAAGTTCGCCTTTCTTATCTGGGTCCTTCTCTAACCGAATTCTTTGCAGTAAAGACTCTGCTGTGTTAGTTTGGCTCTCAGAAACACTGATTTCTGAGGTGAACATTGAGAGTCGGGGCGTATTTTGTAGTCCGGTATTACTGCTGATATACCGAGGCCAGTCCACACCAAATAAAGAGATTTGGAAACGGCTCGGCTCCTCGGTCAAAACCTTGGCCATCAGATTGACTCCTGAAAAGTAATCGAAAATCTTCCATGGAAACTACTGATGAACAATTTTTCTCTTAAGGTACAAAAAGCAGTCACCTTTCATACAGGGGAAATAGGTAAGACTGGGTACTTTGAGAAAAATTCCAGTACGTGGCTTACGTTTTGATAAGTAAAGAATGTCGTCTACTGGCTGAAAACCGTCAGCTGCCGATCTTAAACTAATGTCACCCGGAGTGAACCGCTTCTTCATCTACGCTTGTAAAACGCTCATTTCTCTTCCTCGGCTTACCTTGTAGCATCAAGAGCAGTGGACGCAACTATTCTCTCACAAACTATATGAAAAGCCATGTTCATTTTCATTTGCTTTCACTATTCTCAACGATATAATTTTTTTGTCTTTTAAATCCATTAATTATTACCCATGAGAATAATCAAATTCATATACAAAACCACCATTAGCGTGTTACAAAAATCATATTTACCATCTCTGGCGTTTATGAAGCCCAGTCCTCCAACTGCCATCAATTTTGCAATATTACTCTGCCGTTGCATCACACCAGCTCCACTGATTGGTCCCCAGTTTATCGAAAGTCCGGGCAAACCGAGTACCTGTCTTCGATACTGGGCAAGAGAATCTTGGAAAGCATTACAGCCTGAGTATGACGAAGATGCCACGATTCCAACAACAGATGCCATAGATGAGAACATAACAAAGAAATCTAGATCCATCTCCAAACTCATTTGGTGTAGTAAAAAGGAACCTAGAAGAAATATCACACTTACAATCTCCATTTCATTCATAAAATCAAGATATGTTATGTAATACGTTATCCAGATAATAATATATACACAATCCAATTTAAAGAAATGAGAATAAGTAATTGATAGTGCTCAAGTGTCTTTGAATCTTCAGGTACACTTAGTTTTCGTAGTTAATTTGGGCTACTTTCACCTATGGTAAACAGGTATGATCGTGTGTGTTTAGGTGCACTCGAACTTTCATCGCACTTTTATCATATATTAATACAAGATGAAATGGAAAACAAACACAGAGTAGAAGTTGAATGATTATTATTTGATATTTATAAGTGTTGAAAGGTATAACTCAATTTTTTTGGGTCAATCAAATATACAAAGGATGTTAAAGGAAATATTAAAGTATGCGATATGAAGTAGTGCCGATAGTCACCTTTGATCTTAGGACCCATAACTTCTGTGAAACTTTCAAATTTCCAATCTTTGATGTATTCGTCTCGGAGAACCATAGCAGAATGTACTATTCCAGCTACACTTGGAAGAGACTGGAGCTGCTTTTGTAAGGAAAACATTTGCTCTCGGCTGGAGATATCAATCTATAAAAACAAAATAGAAAACAGTCTTTAAAATTCTTGGCGTGCGTTGTGCTTCAGGTAAAGTTACTTTCCAATTATTGTACAAATGCAACTTAGCATTTCTAGTTGCGAAAATGAAGTAGTAACCGTTTGACTATTGACTACCATAAAGGTAACGCACCAAATTACCTGGAACGTATAGAACTTTGCACCTGTCTTCGTCTCTAAATCTCGTACTTTTTGATACTCGGTATCTGAGAGCTTGGAACGACCAATCAGTCCTATAGACTTTGCTCCATTCTCGGCCATCCAACGCGCCACCTCAAATCCGAATCCTCTGGTCCCCCCAGCCACCAAGTACGTTCTGTTTTCTTTGAGACCACACACATCCAGACCTCGTGGAAGCACGGGGATCGTTAGAAGATCATTGCCTCCTTCAGATGGTGCAAAAGAGTGAACCAGAAAAGAAATGCCTCGAAATTCTCTCAGGACCCTTTTTGGAGGTGAGTCTTTCAGAGTGGCTTTGTTTGCAGCTTCAATTGCCGTGGGTATGTCTGTCGATAGTAACTTGAGTTCCAGAAGCTTTTGCAGAACTCCACTACCTTTCAGCAGCTCTAGACTCTCTAAGCTGAGCTTTTGATAAGTCTTCGGTGATCGGATGATATCTGAAATGCTTTCTCTTACATACAGGACGTTTTTCTTTGCAGGGAACACGACGGCACCATCAAATTCGGCTCCCAAGATAACGACTTTTCCTCCACGTTTAAGACGTCGACTGCTTTTTTGGAGAGCGTTCGGAGAGGGTGGGTAGAAAAACAAAACTGCATCAAAAGCGTCGATGGAATCATTTTCAAAACTAGTGAGACTCTGATGTGCTACACTCTTTGCTCCCAGCTCTAGAAGGGTGGATTCTGTCACCGATTGGCAAGTATCTGAGATAGTGCAAAATACTTCATGACCCAATGCTTTTGCAAGGGCAACTGCCACAGGCCCAGGGCCACGGTGAGCCTGATGAATCAGTAACTTCTTCTTTTCTTCCATCGTTCCTATCCGTTGTAGGGCGTGAAAGGCTATGGCAAGGCAGGCAGGGATGTATGTTGCTTGTTCTTGCGTCAAAATAGCTGGCTTTACAAAAATGTTCCTGACTTGCATGGGAACGGAACGAGAAACTCGTCCAGACGCCATAACGCCGCACACAACGTCTCCAATTTGTATCTGATTACTTGCAGCTTCCCTTGGTAGATGAATCACCTTTCCCACGGTGAAAACACAAGCATCTGGTTTGGCTACATCAAGTATTGACTCAGAGGGTGTCCAGCAATAAAGCAGTTCTACTGTGACCTCGGAGGGCGATGGCCTCGAAAAACTCCTCTGGCGAAAGCAGACCTTCCGTGAAGCAGGAATGGATGACAAGTATAAAGAACCCCAGTCGCTAACATTATTGTGTATTGTGGGCTGCTCGGTGCAAATATTTGATCTCACAACGCGATTAATGAGCCGCTTTCTATCTCGAAAGGCAATCTCTTCTTCCATACTATCGCCAAGGATTTCAGAAAGAAGCAAATCTATCTCATCATTATCATTTTTGTCGCCAAGATCAATCGTGGTAATCCTAAGATCAGATTCTTCGAGCTTTGCTGTTCTGCGAAGACCCCAGATTGTAGAAGCCCAAGGAATGGAGTCGTTGTGAGATTTCGTTGTGGTACTTAGGAGCTGTGTACTTTCAGACACGAGCAGAAGCCGAGAATCGAGAAAATGGTTTCTTGTAAGCTGTTGAATTAAGAAAACTGAGCTGCTGAAGGCGAGGTTTTGTGCTTTTTCGATAACATCGAAATTGTTTGGTAGGAGAGTGGTTTCTACTGGCCACAAGTTGACGACTTTGAGCATGGATGAAGGGATCGAATGTAGGGCAGTAAGCTCTCTGCTGATTGTTTCTTTTGTTTCTGTATCAAAAAATAGAGCATTGGGTGGATCAACTGGGATTACATTGACTCTTGCAGCGTGAAGCTTGCCGATTAGGATGTCTGAGAAAGGGGAGCTGTCCCTGAGAAGAAGACAGGTCAAGTTTGGCGCCATTGCTCTTTGTCCTTGTAAATTCTCTTCCATCCACTTCATTTCATAAACAAGGCCATCAGAAGTAAATCGGCGTGGTGTGCTGTTCAATTCTGCGATACGGAACTCTCTCATAGTTAGTAAAACCCTTCCGGATGGACTCATAAGCGTGATGTCGAATTTCCCGAACTCTTTGGCATCCTCAACGACGTGACAATAGAGTTGATTGGTATTTGGAACATGGTACAGCGTGATGCCCTTAAATCCCACCGGTAAAACAGATTTTTCATCAGTAGCTGAGATTCCAAGTGGGATAAAGCAAGACTGCAGACACGCGTCCAAAATGGAGGGGTGGACAACATAATTTTTACTTTCTGATTGAACGATGGCTGATTCGTGGATATCGATCAGACAAAGTCCCTCGTGCTCGCCGTGCCATGTCTGTTTGATGATGGAGTAGGCACCACCATACTGAAAGCCATACTTTTGAGTTAATTCTCTGAATCCTTCAATCGGCACCTCTTTCATATTTCTGATTAGCTCGTTGACGGCTGGGCCAACTTGATTGCAAGCTGTAAAAGGCCAAAACGGGGAAATGTCTCCTTTTAATTTCTATGTGATAGTTATAGTCTGTTGCAATCATGACTATAAATGGGTGGATAAATAAATAGGCTATAAATGGAGAATCGCAAACGCATTTGAATATTATAATACCTTCTTCCTCGCTGTTTGCTTTTGTGTCCAAGAAATCGACCGAGATGTTTCCACTACTCAAAATAATTTCAGACTGGTCGTCCTGCACGCTTGTAATGTGAAACTGAGCCTTGTCTATTTTGTCGGTCTTTAAAAGGCGAAGTCGTAAGGATCTAACCTAAAGAACAAAGGATAAAAAGTTGCGATAAACTCAACCTAGCTGATATGGCTTGTCTCTAATTTATGTGTATACTACGCTTACCTGTGTTTCAGGAAGAGTGAGAAGACTTGAAAGTTTCACATCACCAAGTTCCAGGCCAGAAGTATGTACGAATTCGTCCTTTACCATTGCAAAGGCCATCTCCAGGTAAGCAGCCCCGGGCATCACGGCACCTCCTTCAATAAGGGCGTGGTCCTTTAGAGATGGAAAATTGAAAAGGTCAATCTCAGTCTCCCAGCAGTGCAGGCCTGAGTATAAGTCTGTCATTTTGACTTGTGCCAGATAAGGATGTGTTGGCTTCCATAAGGTTTCCTTAGAGCTAATTGGGTGGACTGTTGATTGCGGTGGTTGTTCCCTGTACCAAAAACTGTTTTCCAGCCATGGAGATGTTGGGGACCGGATAAACCTGGCTGATTGGCTCCCCTGTACCAAGGTCCAGTCTACGGGAAATCCCATGGTATACAATCTGCATATTGTGTTCTGAAGAAAGCATCTGTGTTGCTCCTTGATGGGCACTCTCTTGCGTGGAAGAGTTGCGACAACAACGGGCCTTTCCTGTTCCGTCAAATTCTCCTGAAGAGCTATCTGTTTTACGTAGTGGGCAAGAATTGGCTGCGTGCTGATCTCAATTATCTGCTTGTAACCATCTTTCAGTAGATGTTTCATTGCTGAGTAGAAGCGAACAGGACAGCGTATATTTCGCCACCAATAATCGCTGTTTAACTGCTGACCCGAGACAACTTCGCCTTCAACGGTAGAGTACATTGGAATCTTCGATACTTGAGGGTTTAGCTGTACACTTTTCATAGCTGCCTGAAATGGTTTCTTGATGGGTTCCATGTGTGAGCTGTGAAATGCACGATTTGTTCCAAGAACACGCCAGAAAACATCTCTTGCGTTCATCGAAAGATGTTGTCCCAGTGCCTCGATGGATTGCGACTCACCAGCTACAGTGACGCTTTTTGCATCATTAACTGCCGCTATGTCAAGGGTGGCGCTTAACCTTAGATTGAAAAGCAGTTCCCTGGCCTTTATCTCAGGCATGCCCAGGGCAGCCATACTTCCATTGCTTGGGCATTTGTCTTGAAGAGTGGAGCGAGTTAGTACCAGCTGAAGTGCTTCCTTGACAGTGATGATTCCAGCAACACAGGCAGCTGCGAACTCTCCTAAACTGTGACCAATAACAGCAGACGGATGGACTTTCCAGGACTTAAGCAGCTGTGCGGTTGCGTACTGTACAGCGAACGTGGCTGGCTGGGCAATGTAGTTTTCTGATATTCGCGAGATGTCTTCTGGTGCCATCAATTCGTCTTCAAGTGACCACGTCTGTCCCATATCTCTCAGTAAGCTGCTAACAGTCAAAATTGCCTCTCTGAAAGCAGTTTCGCATTCCATTAACTGCCTTCCCATGGCATACCATTGTGATCCCTGACCCCCAAACATGAAAACCAGTTTCCTATCGCTTGAGGTCACCTCAGCATAAGAAGCGGTCTTTTCCCAACCAACGGAGTCATCAGCAAAAGCTTCTAGTGACTTCGATGCTTCGAAAGGAGGCCCAAAGGCAACTGCCAGGCGATGCGGATACTGGCTTCGACGTTCGTTCAACGAGAAACATAAGTTTTCCACAAAGTGTTCATTCATTTCTTCAGCGTTGTCTTTAATCCACCTGGAGTAAAGGCGTGACAGCTTTTTAAGAGCTTCTAGAGAACGTGCTGTGATAGTAAGAACGTTATTCTTGCGTTTGAAGTTTTCCACTTGGAAGCTTGGTGTTGCTGTAGCTTCGCGAAGAATAACATGCACATTTGACCCACCAAAACCGAACGAATTAACGGCTGCTATTCGCGGTTTTCCCTTTTCTGTTTTCCAAGACTCACGAGTTTGTTGTAGAATAATCCCTTTTTCTTCAAGCTTTAGTTTGGGATTCAACACCTTGACGTTGATGGTGGGTACAAAGGTCTTGTTTTTTATCATCAGGGCGGCCTTAATAAGTCCAGCAAGACCAGAAGTAGATTCCGTATGATTGAGATTAGATTTGACAGAGCCAATTCTCAATTTTCGTGAAGAATTTGCGGCCAGGTTGGAGTAGGTATCTGCTATGGAGTTGACTTCCACTACATCACCAATCGCGGTACCAGTCCCATGTGCTTCGAAGTAATCCACGTCTTCTGCGGCCACTCCTGACTGCTCCAGCACGCTTCTTGATAACTGAGCTTGCATCTTGGCACTTGGAGCGGTGATCGGGACAGCATTTTGACCGTCGCTGTTCATTCCACATGCAAGGATCTCGCAATATACATCGTCTTTGTCACAAAGAGCATCCTTTGACAGTTTGAGTACAACCGCTGCAAAGCCCTCTCCGCGTCCATAACCGTCCCCAGAAGCATCAAAACTCTTACAACGGCCATCCGGGGCAAGAAGTCCAGCCATACTGGATATTATCTGCATGGAATGGTTAAGGACGACATTGGGTGCGCAAACGATAGCTATATCGCAATCATCGTTATGCAGGCTATCATAAGCTAGTTTAAGAGCAGTCAGCGATGAGGAACATGCTGTATCCACGGCAATACTTGGTCCGGTCAGATTAAGGCAAAATGACACTCTGTTGGCAAGAATAGATGCTGTTATCCCTGTTGAGGTATACTGATTGATGTAGGAGTAATTTGAGCGGTCTGCCAAAAGAGAACCGTATTCGATATTCATCACACCAACAAAAACACCTGTTCTACACTTTTGTAAGTCTTCAAGCCGCATTCCTGCATCTTCTATTGCCTCGTAGGCTACTTGAAGGAGTATTCTTTGCTGAGGGTCCATTGCACGTGCCTCTTGATTGGAGATACCGAAGAACCTGTTGTCGAAAGTCTTAATTTCTTCCAAGTAGGAACCATTGATGGCACAAAGGCGTCCATTTACGAAACGCTTGGGGTTGTAGAACTCAACAAACGCTTTATGCTGCTGTGTTCTGTTCTCGGGAAACGCACGAATGGAGCTCTTTCCTTGTTCAAGCAAGGCCCAAAAGAGGTTCTTACTGTGAGCACCGGGGAATCTACAACTAATGCCTATGATGGAGATCCCGGAACGTTTAGCCTTGAGCTTTCTTATGTCGCCATTCCGTGCTTCCATTGATATTGAGTCATTTGCTACCATGAAGTGTTCTATTTCCTCTTGGCTAATCTTGGAGCTAAAATTGTGCACTAACTCCTCAAACAATGCAAGGACCGTCGGGAAAACAAGAAGAGCATGGATGGACCCCAAAGCGAACACCGAGGAAAGTAGTAGATGGAAAATATCTGCTAGACTGGGAAAAATGAATCCCAAGCAAACAGAAGCTGATAGGGATATCAAAGTGCCTCCCAGCACGGATACTCCAACGGAGCGAAGAGCATCAATCATGCGACCTTGTATGTCTCGCTTGGCCGAGAGTACGAACGAATGGCACACTTCAATACTAAAATTCAAGGACAGCATGACCGCCACAAAAAGAGAAATGAAAACCACATGATCCAGGTAGATTCCAAATGTTTTCATAATAGCTGCTGCTTCCAGTATTAGAAGGTCGAACGTTATAGCCAGGAGTGTACTAGCCCCGACATGACACATTGCAAACAAAGAAACAGCAAACACCACCACTGTGCCAGCTGTGAGAACTATGGAGATGGTTTCTTTTTCTAACTCGACGAGGTCATCTATCTTGAAAAATTCTTTGGAGATTGGGACGCCTTTCAAGGAGGACTGTTCATGTAAATCACTTCTCAGTGTCCTAAGGGCTTCTCTATCTTCTCGCAATCGGTTGTTCAGTGTCATCCTCAGATGAACTCGAGACGCCGATATTTTAACAAGAGATGTAGAATCTTCTAAAAGCAGGTCTTGTCTAAACAGCAAACTCTGGGAATTTTTCAGGAAAAGTTCCAAGCACCGGTGAAACTCTGAATGTGAACAGCTCATGTTTTGATGTTTGACCCACTGTAGAAAGCCTGCCATCCAACAAAGGGACTTTCCTTTACTGTAAGCGGCCTCTTCCAGTTTTTTACACGCTGACATTACTTGATTTTGTACACTTTTTAGTGAATAGTCGACTTCCTTGGAGAAAACGATGCTCACATCAGTTTCGTTGCTTAGGAACATTTGTCGTGCCTTATTAAACTGCTTGAAGTTTTCACTCCGATAGCGCAACTGTGTGGTACGCGTTCTGTCTCCAGTTTGAAAAGCGGAGAAAACAACTAAAGTGATGAGAAGGGCAAAGATTCCGAGGGAGAAAATTTTGCCGCCGGTGGATGTTATTTTTCGAGCCCATTCTTTCAGAATGCGTTGCAGTCTTGTCTTATGGCACTGTGAGAGTCTAAGCTCAACGCTTCCAAATTCAGAGATGGACAATCTTCTTTCACATGTAGTCGCACAGGGCGTGTTCACTTTCTTAAGCTTTCTTTCAAAATACATCAATACAATGATTGTGATCACAATAGAAGCAGAAAATGTTACATAAGCAACAAGTGTTGCAAAGGAAAAATTGGAAATGGCAATAAAAGAGGATTTGATTCCCACTCCATAAAGAGCTGACCCACAAAGCGCAGTCATCATAGCAAGAACCCCTGTTCTAGCCAGGCAATTTCCCACGCGATGTTCAAGTGATGGCACCTTTTTTTGCCTTTCCCATTCCATGAGGTAAAGTACCACGTCTGTAGTTGCTTTCCCCAATAGTAAGAAGGGTATAAAGAGGCACGTTGAGGAAAAGGCAGAGTTTGTTATGGAGACAACACCTGCAGAGCAGGTTAAAGGAAAAGCAAGAGAAGAGAACATCAGGAGGACTGCCCTTAAACAACTGGCATTGGTAGAAGTAAAGCGTATGACAGTGAAGACAAGGACAGCAATCGCTACGACTGAAAAACAAAGAGGCCATAGCTCTGGTTTCAGTATATCTTCCATGGCATCAGTCGCTGTTCTCTCAGTCTGGTAAGAGAGTTTTGCACATTTCATGCGAGGACCCATTGAATCAAGGAGATTGCTAAAGGAGGCTTCAAACCTTTCTATGTCTTGGTAGTCTTCTGTGCTGGTTGTCTTTCTTACGAAGTAAATAGTTCGAAGAGCGTCGGCACGGGCAGTCAATTGATCTTTGTTCCGTTCTATGTGGAAATTGGCCAGCATTTGCTGATAGGAAGAATTAAATGTTTTTCCAGAGGAAAGAACATTAGTAGGCTTTACAAACTCGCGAGCCAGGATCGAGGAAAGATTTTTTAATTTTTGAAAATGCGTTCCGGCTAACTCAAGAGGATTGCTGATCTTGCAGCTTTTCTCTGTGCTTCTTTGTTGGGCAATTGGCGATTGCTGCCTGAAACATATATTGACGTAACCGCTGATATTTACTATGGCTCTGTGAACCATAATGGCGTCTTTTAAACATTCTTCACTTAGAATGCTGTCCCCATTCCTGGGTATCATAATTACTTGTTCTTGTCGTGCCTCAAGAATCGGAAAGAATTGTGCGGAATCATGCGAGTCTTGTCTGGATTTGCTGTTGGCGAAGGTAAAAAGCTCAATGGTGGGCTGCTCAACATTCAGGCGAATGAATCCGAGGCAGCTTCCAATCAAAACAATGAACGAAACCAGAAGAACCGCCAATGGTCTGCGTGCAAGGAAATGCCCTAATCTTTCGAAGGCTCCTTGATAAGCAGTAAGAAGAAGAAATGCTTTGATTCTTCGTCCTGTGGTGATAGCCCCGCACCCATGGAGGCGTTTTTTACGTTTCTTGTGAACTGCATAGGACCTAGGCGCAAGAACGGGATGTTGTGAAGCGAAAGTGATATCATATTAAAAACTTAGGCGTCAAGTCTTTTTCTAATTATTGACAAAAGGAGGTCTGTATTTTTTTCTTCAAACCCCTAGATTTTTTGTAGAATGTCAGTTCTCTCAAAGTCCAGCTAGTGCCCAGTGTCAGGGTTGGCGAGCCTAATAGTAGACCACCTAGCTACATTTTTGTACTATGTTCGCATTTTTTAGTTCAATCCAAATTGAAGATATTTGTACATGAAAAGTTGTTAATCCTTTTAACTGCGAGATTCTACGTGGGGCCAAACGCTTATGGGATGAAAAAGAGTATTAGCTTTTAAAAGGGAAATTGTACCAAAAAAATATTACCGATGAGCGAAATGCGTTTATGCAAAACCAACGTACAGAAAAGCGGTTTCCTTGACACAAAAAAGAAGCGTCTCCCTCTAGTTGCAAAAGCTGGGTATCTGATCGACTTCGTTTTGTCAGTCAGTTGAAGTCATTATCCGTCATTACGCTGCTCAGTTTTACTAACCTGAACAAATAATTATGGTACAAAACAAGCACTGCGAAAAAAGGCAAAGTAAATTTTCAAGGAGCGTAAATTTATCATATTAACAAGCAAAGTTTTCTTTCATCAACACTCAATGCATATCAAAAATTGCACTCTCGTGTTTTTACCTAGACTTATTTAACAATTGGTGGAAAAAACTTTCTTTACAAAATAGGAATCCGTAACTAGAAATTTAAGGCTTCTGTTAGAAAGCAAGAAAATATTGACCGACCCTTACTTCATTAGGTGGGTCCAGTTAAAGACATATTTCACCATCGACTTTTGTAGGTCGATATTGTCTCTCTTCAAACAATTACCGGATTGTGAGCTATCTTGCTCAAAATTATTATGTCAGGAAAAGTAGGTTTCTGGATATAGGACTTGCGATCTGATGATCTGTTCCCTAATAAAGTGTTCTTACTTCATAGGTGAACTTTTGCAATTTAAGTCATTATAGATGCGTAAAAATTTCAGTGTGTGCGAGGAGCTCTTTAAAGAAATCGAGTTCACAGATCACTTTGTATATGGTTAAATCACACCTTTCCTAAGGCTTTGTCTAGCATAAAACATTTAACTTTCGGTTCGGTTTTGCGAATTTTGCAATTTTGCTTTGAAGGACACCATATCATACCTAACCAGAAGCTTATAATCTTACGGCTTCTGATCTGACTGAGTTAAAAATCTCGGCAAATGCGAATTCAATTTCCGTTTTCTAAATAAATGTAAGCCCTTTTTACCTTATTCTTATTGGATCAAAATGTTCCACATCAGTCTGTTTCTGTACCAAATTTCATAGCTATTGATCCCGAACTCAATTAAAGTAAGATGAAAAATTCTATTCACCTTACACGTGCCCGCCATCTTGCAAAAAATATCCTAGGCGTTCTATTTTAGGCTTTCGCAAGCTAAGGAAGACTAGACACTGAACTTCCCAGCAGGCCCTGGGGCTTTAGAAAATTTTGTTATTGACCAGTTTAAACACGTTTTCTGGTTATACCAAATTGTATTTGGTTGATTAACGGCAATTTTTTTTATTTAAGCATGTTGAATCATGATATTGCAAAAGAAAGTAAAACGTGACCCTGATATAACAGTGGAAAAGAAATAATAAATGGTGAAAGGAAAGCCATCTTAGTAAAGAAAGTTTAGATTGCTTAAGTAACTTTAGGAGGGTCACGTTGCTTTCAGTTCTCATAAGTCACCTCATGGTTCATTCGCAAAATAAGCCTTAGCACTTAATGCGTCTAGGAATGGTTCGAAGATATTCTGGCTCAAAGGTCAAGTAACCGGACAAAACAGAATGATTCACACCTTGATAAGATTAAAGTTATGAATACATTCTAGTCAAATATCAAACATTTTGTCAAACATTTTGTCAAACATTTTTCATTATATTTTAACTCAATAGACAGAATGAAAGTCAATTTCAATCTAATTTTCTGCATTTTTTTAAAGAATCCTATATTTATCACGAAGAGCAGAGGTCTGAGACAACTTCAGAGATTCATATCCTAAAATCTTGAATCATCCTAAAATCTAGAAGCAAGGCGGTGATAGTCACAGTTTATAAAGATTTCCTTCAGCAGATGAATAAACTTATCTAGGGATGTATGTAGAGAGGTAATTATAGAAATCAACGTTCCACATCAAGAGAATATATTCTCCTGTCTGCATTTATCACTTATATTGAAAATGGACAGTGTAATTCAATTGTAGAAGCACAGAAGGAAGTAATCCTTAAAAATGAAAAGATACCTGGAAGATAACGAAAACTTCTCGAAGTTTATTCTTTGAATTATTGGAAGGAGTAGATGGGAAACTCATTTTATTTTGTAGCTTTAATGACACTTGTAGAATACCGATCTACTTTCCAGCTTTCCTCATGGCATCATTTACAATGAGAACAGTCATGAAGAGGTTAAAAAAATTGTTTGCAGGTATGATATAATCATACACAAATAATCTGTTTTTGATAAGCTCTTTGTTGCAGAGGGTTTAGCCAAAACCTGATACTAACACACAAACTTTGTTCCAGAACTAAAGATTTTTGAAGGCAGACACATACCCAGTCCAGCAAATCATTGTTGGCGCGAAATTTAAGCTCGCTAAAGACTTTTTCTCCAACAAAGTGAACAATTCCCTTTACACAGCTCCTTGATGATTATATCTTTATTCTAGCGGAAGGAAAAGAAGATGATATACAGAAGATTCTAAAGGCCACCCCTCACTGTAACAGCTAATTAACAGCCTCAAAGTAGACATTTCGAACCAGTGAGGGAATGAAAAACAACCTACCCGGCTCTACTGTTGTCATAAAAGAGACAAAACCTAATAAAACCTTATACGAACTTTTGAAATACTTTATATTGTTGTGTAGGTTAAATCACTAGTGTTAATTGAAGGTTCTTTTCAGTCTGTCCTCCATGTTTATGTGTTCATAATCATCACTGTTTTAAGTGAATCATTTGCTCGAAATGTTTGGCTCACCCCCTCCGTGAATTTCTCATTTTATGAGGATTTGTCTTAGTAAGGAAGTTTATCTCAGAGGTTACGCTTTTCTACTTGTTTCATGTTTCGCATTTATTTCCACACTATTATCACGGATATAGCACAGGTAAAGCTGACGTTTATCAGGCGTGCTAAACGTTTACTCTAACAGATGATCGACAACTTTACAGCTTAGAACACAAAACAGTGATCATAAAAATTAAGTCAAACTAAACCTTGCTTCGAGTCACGCTTGCCTGAATTTCAAATAAACGAAGGAAGCGGTAGCTCGAGAAAAAAAAATGATCCTAGTCAAATGGCAATATAAATATATGCGAAACAAACAGCAATAGCATTTTAATATATCTGTATTAATCTTGCAAGAAGGCAATGACGTTTTAGCTCACTGAAGTAAACTTCAAAGAATTACAGCAGCGATATTGCCTTCAAAAAGAGACACCAAACGTCATCTTTAAACAAAGTACATGAGATCAGAAGTTGCCCTTCACAGAGAGCTGTCTATTTAGCGGGTTAAGTGACGTTCCGGTAAAAGATAATGTAAACAACCCCGAACTGCAAAAACACGATCTTAATAAATTTCAAAAAATAAATGAAACCAACAAAGAAAGGAAGTGAATGTATCACGAATAGAAAGATTTAGCGATCTCGTGATTTTAGGTTAGATTACAGCTACATTTTGTCGAAAAATGTGAATTAGTTATCTCTTTTCGCAGAAATTGGTAATGTAAACAACTTCGTAAAACCCAGTGGGTCGTAACCAAGTTTAGTCATTAAAACATTCGATAAAAATCAGACAGTAGCCATTTAAACGACGGCAGAATATAGAGGTAAACATGTTCACTACAGGAGTAACCTCGTTACATGTTGGAGAAGATTCACGGAAAATACAAAGCAGTGTTACTTGAAGTAAAAATGATACTTGCGGAGTGAAATGCTATGAAATAAGATGAAAGTTATACAGTAGGAAAGTAACGGACATCTGTTAGGCCGAGCAAATTTCAGCTGAATCAATACGTTCTAAATATTAAAAAAAGGTCGCGCTGTCCACTACAATTATTAACCCGGAAACGAAACACTGTATCTTTTTAAATAGCTTCTTGCTGGTTGTAAATAGGGCTAGTTTGATACTGACTCTTATGACTGAATCAACTTGGCGTGCATTTTCTTTAAAAAAATCATCTATATGAGCCGGTGTCTGATAAAGAGCACACCTACCTGTCTTCTGGCTTGCTTGAAATATCGGCAAGTTCAACACCTGCCTCAACTTCCGCCATTAGAAAACGATTTGTAGTGAGTAATCGTCGTATTCCTTCGATATGAATCCAACTGAAAAAAATGGTACTGCGAGGAAAACCACCTTTGATTTATACCTTCAACATAATGCGGAAGCTTGGTAGGACATAGCAATAGAGGAACACTGGTAGAATTGTGGTCATCAAAATGTTTTTTTCGATGTAACGGGGTCATAGCTTCTTTACCTTGTCAGGTTTTCATGCTTTGTTGAAGGGAGGAAGGCGGATGAGTTGTGATATCCCATCCGGGCCGCTTCATGAAAAATAAGCGTCTATTTTATTATTGAAATTCCCAATGTAGTTTTCATTTAACTTTTAGTAAAATGTCAGTATGTAGTTTATTTTCTGGAACGTCCTTTCAGGTCTAATATGGATCAACTCATTTGTGAGCCCACATTTGCCCCTCATTTATTCAGGAAAGGTAAGTGAAACGTACGTGCCTCTCTTCAGTATTTCCTGACAAGTCCGCTCTATCGAAGAACATATGCATCCGCTTGGAACAAATTCACTTATGCGTATAAATTCACCAAAAACTTTTTGTAATCAAGGAGGAAATTAAGTTTTATCAAAGAAAGGGTTCGCTATCAATTTGAAATAAATTTTTCATATGTCAATAAGTATGTCTAAATCAAGCGTTCCGAAATTCAGGAATTATGCAAAGTTTGCCTATTTTCGAACCAGAGCAACAGCCGGGGGCTAAAATAATGTCAATGCAAAGTCAATTCCCTTCTTCTTCAGAAATAAGGCGTTAGTAATAAAAACAGTATTTTGTTTTTTCTAAAAATTTTGAAAAACGCTTCCATGAACAACGCGCCTGTTCCAGTAGTCTTAATTCCGAATTGTTCAAGAAACAAGCTAATCAAAGTCAGAGAATCAAGCAAGAAAGAACACCTCTATGCGTCACACAATTGCTTTCTGACCTGACCCCTTGTTAGCGCCGATGTAAACAAGAGAGACTCTGTCGTTCTATGTTCCCCACGTATTTGACGGACCTCTCGATAATGTCTAAAACTTTCGAACGTTTAGATAAGTTTTCCGTAAATCTTTTAAATTCCCTTTGAGATAAAAATAATAGAAAATTTAAACCAGTTAAAAAATAAGTCAACTGAGAATTGTTTCAAGCAGTGCTTCTAAGCTTTGTTTGTTATTTATTTCCAAACACAAAGCAATAGCTGTTAGGAAATTTACTGTGGGAAATATTTTAATCCCAAATGATACTCTTCGTTAACTGGCAAAACAACTTAATTTGAAAGGGAAGTTGAAGGGAATCAAATCAAATTTCATTTTTGTACTGGAGGCGAGCAATAACAAACGTATGCTTTTCATGTTTGCTTCAAGGGGAAATTGACTGTTCATAGCGTATAGTAACGACCATATTTTACTTCTTCCTAAACACCATTCATTGTCTAGTCTGTGGACTATGCGAGAAAGGTTTGTTATCCACGGTCAAGTTAACCAACCTCTGATCGATCTGTTAATAAAGTGAAAATTTTGTTTGTGCCTCTTGCCTGATTTTTGATGCACGAATGAACGGTTCATCCTCGTGATACATTGCCCGCAAGCAATTCAATTGGCGAGCTTGATCCCTAAGAAAGGAACAGCATGGTCGCGCGTTCTCTTTCTGTAATGTGTTATCGGGCTCATAAAAGCCAGAGATAGCACTACGAATTCAATTTATTCATTTGCGTTCTTAATGATTCACGAATACTGAGACTCTTCTGACTTTCAAAAGAAGCTAACAATTTTCATAGAGTAACAAACTTGTCTTTAAAGAAAATCGGTAAAGTCCACGAAATCTGTAACTCTGGTTCACGCTGCCCAAAACGCAGCGAATGGGACTTTCACTGAGAAAGACATGCAAATTAGGACACTTTAAATCAAGGATTAAGGGCAAAAAATCATTCACACGTGTCAGGAAATAGGTTTATTTTGGGTGTCTGAGTCACACGAATAATTTCGTTGAACAATTCGAGCGACGGGAAACATTTCTCAGCTGCGCTTAACTTGGCTCCCGCGCTACGGAAGGAAAAGACTTCCAACTCATCAAAGTCTACTAAAAAGAGTGAAAAGATAAAAAGAAGCGTTCACACCGAACAATAACACATAATTTCCAATGTTTCAAAGGGAAATGTCACGTACTACTCGACTTCGATGCAGAACTTCCGTTCTTTCCATGTAAACAAAATGCATCCATCACTTTATGAATTTATTGTTATTTTGCAAAAACGCGATTCGAACGCAGATAAAGGTCTCTTTCCTTTAAATCACGTTTGGTGCTTCTTGAGTTTGAATTGAGCACAGAAAAACGCTTAAAAAGAACGTGAAAAAAACTTAAATCGCTAGATACACAATTACTTACTAACTAAACTTAACCTAACCTAGATCAAGTAACGTGGACAACCTGATAGATATATTTATACTATACTGCTAGCTACATAACATTACGTAATTATAGGTGATTACACTAAATTTTTCGTGAGTTAACAAGACCTAATCAACTCTGAGGTCGGGTCCTATTTCCAACCACCACAGTGCTGTGAAAAGGTTAGTTGAAAAGCTGCATGACAAAAGTAAAAAGTGATGACCTTCCGTATATTTTAGGGTAGAGATTCCAATCGGAATCACCATGTCTATCTTTTAAATAAAAACACCATCACGTCGGAATTGGAAGCAGGTGGTGGACTTTAAAACGTCCGGTCTGGGCTAAAAATAATTACTTTGTCGAGCGCTGAAGCGCAACATTGTCATTTGGCACGTGCACCGAAAGCGTATAAACCAGAGGAGTCGGGTTCATCAGTTAATTTTAGCAAGTCTAGCACTAGTGTTGAAGTCACTTTCGCTCCATCATGGGCAAATTCAAACCAGACCTCGAACAAGAGAAGAAATCAGACCAATCAAGGTGGGTAGAGTTTTTTAACTGTAGTTTGATTATAAATGATAATGTTGTTGGTAATTGATAAAGTTTTCTACAGAGCATCCGTTTTTTTCCTTGCAATATTGGATTTTCGAAGGTAGTTAATGTTTGTGCGAGGATTACTTTATTTCTCCCACGAATTATTGCCAATTATTGGGAAAGATTGCTCGGCGATTGCCTACCATACTCATGGTGGTTTGCTCGTTTGGTTCTAACATGCAAAGAAACCGAACACATATGTCGGAAAAGCGATTACTACTCTTCGTGTCTTTTCTTCTGATTGGGTTGTTTCTATCCATCATCCAATGAGAGACGAGCCGATAGCGTGACATTTCCAAGCAACTAGCATCAATGAAAATATGTCATTGTGAGGGAGAAAATATATTTTGGTACGTGTGAAATCTTAGAAAACGTATACGTTCGCCGTTTTCGATTGAACAGAAAAAATAACAACAAAGCATCGGAAAAAAGGCCTTTATTTTTTGTACAAAACGTTTGTCTAAGAATATTCCGATAACTGCAACCTACGTCCATCAGCTGCATCTTACATACCTTAATCATGATCGTGATCATGATTTGGATCGCTTCAAGCTCCCACGATCAAAAACAGATTAAAACAATTACGCTTGCAAACTTAAAAATCTAATATAGTTTCAAAGCCGACGTTTCGAGCGTCAGCACTTCGCGAATGATTCGCTCTGACGAAGGGCTGCTCGAAACGTCGGCGTATTATCAACTCAGTCGATAAAACCAAAATTACCTAGTTACTCTCACCGACGCAGCACCACAGTTTCTCTAGAAACTTACTCCCGCCCCCCTTAAATTCTAATACTCGAGGTAAACGTGACTCGAACGATGGTGCGACGTGACGTTCTTCCCTTCAGGTGTCAGTGATAATAAATTCAGGATGGAATGAAAGTTTCGAGAAGGAATAGTTCTGCTATTATTTAATGCAAAAAAAAAAACTACTCAGCGGCGAGTTTGTTTACGTTGCGATTCAAAAACGTGTTGGCTTCACTCGTGAATGTAAGGAAGTTGACATCTTCGATGTTAAATCCTGGTTCATTTGTCACTTTCATCTGCTTGTTTACTTTGACGAAGTAAATAGTACGTGTGCGTACGTGATGTTTCAAACTACACAACTTCCTGTTTTGCTGTTACTAATAAAAAATGTTCCAGAGGAAGCTTTTATTTGAGAAGGAAATAGGAATATATCGATGAACGCGATGTGCAGCAACAAAATATTTGGATGTATAGAAGAACCGAAAAAAAGATGACACAAAGCGAATAAAATAATTTAATCAAAGGATTCGATGAGAGGGCGAACGTTGAGGAAGTGTTTCAAATATTTTGGCACTAGTAGACAACTCTCCTCCACTAAGTGCTTCAAAAACCTATATCAAAATTTACTTTTCGATGTGTGTTTTTTTGTAGACCCTGCCATCCACGCCGGTTTCTTCCATGTCATCTGTGGTCCTCACTCTGCAAATGGTACTTGCGTTTTTTGGAACGCTTTTTTGGCTGGTATGGTACAGGGATCGCCAAACATCCGCTGATAACAATCCAGTTGTGTCTCATACTTGTCAGTGTCTGTTCTGTGGGCTTTGTTTGGTTCAATTCAGAAAACAGAACCGTAAAATTGTTCATCCCTCAAAACAGCAAGGCAATAGATGACTTGGAGACTGCCGAGAAATACTTCCGAGTCGACTTTCGAGAGGAAATCATCCTACTGGTGGCCTCTCCCAGTAATCCTAATCCTCTTTCCCCGATGTGTTTGAAACAGGCCTTCAGAGCTCACGATGCAGTCATGGAGCTGAAATCGTTTTCAGACCTCTGTGTCACGCTGTCGGGAAACAAATCCAGGTCAACAAACGGATGTGCGATGATTAATCCACTAGAATTTTTGCAGTTCAATGAAAGCAACTTGAACGGAAAGGACTTACATGATGTCCAACGGGAACTGAGCAAATCCTACAACGACACAAGGTTACTCATGCGTAATGGACGCCCATTCTGGTTGAATTTCAACCGAATGTTTGGCAAGGCCACTCGAAAACATGGAAGCATAACCGACGCCAAAGCTTTGCAAATGATTTATCTCCTTCGTGATCCGAGGGACGATGATGAGAGTGACAAGATTCTCAAATGGGAGAAGGCCTTCATCGACAAACTAGGCTCGTTA